CTGCTGAAAATTTATGTTGTCGCACTTTACAGCGGCAATGGAACAACTGTAAACGTTAGACAATAAACTTATTTAATTAAGCTCTCTCCTGTATCTTCTCTGTGCAAGACAATTTGAATCCAGTTTTTGATGATTTCTAACATGCTTTGTTAGTAAGGTAGATCTGGGAGGCTCCTCTCTTTATCCTTTCTCCCCCTAGAATATAATTATGATCAGTTTTTAGCAGCCTTAATTAAAAAAAAAATCTCAAGATTCCTCCCTTTAAAATCATTGAGCTTTTCTGCTCAGCTGTGATGACTTCTTCCTTTCGGTTTCACATCTTGATCGCTTCTGTCTTCTCTCACACTTCACTTGAAAGTAACTTTGCGTTGTTTGTGAAAGTAAGAAAATCTTAAGCAAGTTTTCTGCTTCATTTCTGAGCTAGAGTGGTCCTCCTTACTATGCGTGCTCATCCAAATTTATTTCAGAGGCAAGACTTCAGTATTAGCACACGTTTATTACGACTCTTGGATCCTAACCTGTAAGCAGGGGTGGTTCTTTACATAATTAGCAGCAGCTGACTGTGTGCAGACGTACTGAAGGTTTCATTTACCCAGAAGTGATTACGCTGAACTAAGGTGCTGCCTTGGTATGTGGATGTGTCCTAGGGAGGGAGAGAACTGCAAGGCTGGGCTATTGGGGCAAGCCCATACCTTAAACAGAATCCTACCCTTCTGGTTTGCACCACTGGCTGTTCTGTTGTTACTGTTGTCATCAGAGTCATTATTTTTTTAGATCAAAAAAATCAATTTTCTCTTTCTCCCAGCCCTAAGTAAACTATTCAGAAGGAAGCAACATCTTCAAGTCTAAATAAAAGGAAGTTCCTGAGACACTGCAGCTAGAGCACGCACACTGTGTCCCTGTGCAGCTGTTGCTGTTCCTGTTGCAGAACACCACCCACAGCTGATAAAATAAGGCTGCTTGTGGACCAGGGAGAAGTGCGCTCTTTCTGCTGCCTGCCTTGTTTTGAGCAAGTGGTGTTACACCACCAGCTACAGTTACTGAAGCATCTTCCTTGTACTGAAAGGAAGTGCAATGATGAATATAGTGAGAAATCATAGAATAGTTTGGGTTGGAAGGGACCTTTAAAGGCCATCTAGTTCTGGCAATGAGCAAGGACACCTGCAACTAGAGCAGGTTGCTCAGAGCCCTTTCCAACCTGACCTGGAATGTTTCCTGGGATGTGGCATCTATCACCTCTCTGGGCAACCTGGGTGAGGGTTTCACCAGCCCGACTGTGAAAATTTCTTCCTTCAATCTAGTCTCCATCTACCTTCTTTTAGTTTAAAACCATTACCCCTTGTCCTGTCACTACAGGCCCTGCTAAAAAGTCTGTCCCCATCTTTCTCATAAGCCCCTTTCAGTCCTGGCAGCTGCAGTAAGGTCTCCCCAGAGCCTTCTCTTCTCCAGGCTGAACACCCCCAACTCTCTCAGCCTGTCCTCACAGAAGAGGTTTTCCATATTCAATAAGCCATTCTGAAAATTAAACAGCATTTTTATTATGATTATTCTGTCAAGGCTTGATAGGTTGAGCAGTTAGAAGAAATGCTTTTGGTCAGTTACATAATTCCAGATAAAAACATGAGAATCATTCCTACAAATACTATTTTTTTTTTTTTTTTGCTCTGCAAGTAAAGCAAAGGACCTTTGTTACAAGAAGAGTTACACTTCTAAGCCATCTGCATTGGGCAGTTTTCAACTAAATTTCTCATCATCTAGTTTTAGAACTTCATAAAAGGGACTTGTAGCGGTTTTTCTGCTGCACGCTTCAGGGCCAATGCGTAAGTATAAACCCTGGCATCCACTGCCACATGTTCTTCTGCTATGAGTTCTGAGGGAAAAAAAAAAAGATTGTTAAAAATTCTCTACATAAATTTAAGCCCTTTACTAAATTGAAGGTGTATAGTACTCTGGATACAAATTCTTAATGCTAACACCTAGTACTATCACTGACTCTTTTACCTGGCCAAGTTGCTCACAGGTTTTTGTATATCTAAGATACAGTATTCCAGGATGAGAAATGCCATGAGGAGCTATGAGAAGAGAAGCTAAAGGTTTCTTGAAGCTCGTGTTAGTGCACTGAACATGTCAGAAAGCTCTTACCATCAATTCTTTGCAGTAGGTCGTTCTTTGGAAGTGAAAGAACTTCCACAAATTCTAGGAGAGAAGAAAAGAATTTCATGTACCTTTAATTTAGCAAACAGTAGAGAAAGTCCACCTCAGTGTCCTGTTTCTTACAATGTGGAAGGGGAAACAAACTGGCTCAAGTGCTCACCACCACCCAAAAGTTGTGAGCCTTCATCTGCCACAAAAAGGCTGATGAAACAGGGGCAGGCAGTTGACTGAGGTCATGAAAAAACAGGTTTGACAGAAAAAAACTGGGAAAGAGCTGGGAAAAACAGTGTGGCCGACACCTATGGAGGATCAGAATCCTTTGTATAGGAGACCTTCTCCCTCCTGAGAATGGAAAATAGGCTGTTGAAGGGGACTTTCATTTGACTTATATTGGCTGGTACAGTAATGGGCTGCAGATGCATTTGAAGACCAAAAGAGCACAAAGGCAAAGGGTTTGTTCTTGATGAATTTGTGTTGACTTACACCTCCCCGTCAATCTGAATTAGCTGTCTTTGGGGCTTCATCTACAGCTGTTGTGTTTTCAGTAATTTGTATTTCCTGACATACTGGTGCTATAGGTGCAATACTTGAAGTTAATTGATGCCATAATGCCTCACAGGAATTTTCAGGTCTAGGCCAAAGCTCATCTCATGCATGTTTGATTACGGTCAGGAGATTAACGAAGCCCAAATAAAAAAGTTTTAACTGACACATCAAGATCACACTTGACCTTACTGTCACTGTGAGCACAGCTACATAACGTACCTCCATCATCTGCAAGTAAAAATAAAAAAAGTAGTTAAGGATTTTAAAATACACTTGAGTTTACAACTAAAAAGCATTTTGACAGCTGACTGATCATGAATGACACTGTAGTTACTCCAGGGTGAAGCCACAACTAAGAGGAATACCCAGGTTCACAAGGGCTTACGGCCCTCGCTGAAGTTTGGCACCTAAATTTCTCATTCTGGGTGTGCCAACACCCAACACTTAACATCTAAGGCTCCTCAGTGAATTTAGCAAAGAAACACAGCTCTGCTTATCTAGACTGCAGGGTATGATTTGAAGGATGTACAGTGTCTAAATCAGCTGGGACAGAAGAGATGCAGTGGTAGGAGTAGTTCTTTTAAACCCCTTGTTTTGTTATCTTCTCAGAATTTTCAAATAAATGGTACAAAACTCACCAAGTTTTTGCTTAGGTCTTGTATTCTCAGCCTCATCTCCATTAATGGTGACACTCACAATGTGTGTTGTGCTGTTTGACAAACCTGGGTCCAAGCAGAGAGCTGCCAACAAGCACACATACAGGTTAATTTTTCAAAAGCAGAAGTCAGGCACATTTTAACAAAAGCTTCCACAGAAATGTAGCTGATACAATAGGAGAACATGTATTTGGCATACATTCATGCTGGAAAAGTTGTGAAGAACGTGTGAAAACAAGCTTTTAAGAGAAATGTTTCTGTAACTCTCAGCTCTTTTACAGATTCCTTGTAAGACTTGTTTTCAGCAGCTAGGTTTACTTTCTGTTCCACAGTCTGAAGATTAAACTAGAAATCCCTTACAGACTTCCTGAGCCTGTTAAAGTCTAATTTTGCTGTCACCTGTCTCCATCTCCCTCAGTCCCCAGCCTGCAGTTGTACCCAGTCATCAAGGGCCAAGTCTCAACTCTAATGACATTTACGTGAAACCGTACGTAAGCTGCACCTACCTTCTCCAGTTTTATTTATAATCCTCCTTTTGCCTCCATTTTGTTTTACGTAGGAAGCATTGCACTGGCAACAATCACGTTCCAAAGGATCTCTGGCTTTACTCCAATTATTCTCTCCTTTCTTCTTTCCGGCTGGAGAACCCGAGTACTGTCGCCTCCCCACAGCTGACATGCGGGTGACCTCCACTCGGGCTGCATCATGCAGCTGTTTTTTCTACCTAAGTCCATGGATGTTGTTCACATTAAGTCCAGCAATTTTGACCTTTATACTAAAATGCCAAATCAGTGCTTGAATAATTGGGCTTTGTGTAAAGGATCTTAATTAACAGCAAAGTTTTCTCATATAAACATCAAACTGTTACTTTAGTCCTGTATGTTTAACAGGACTTCAGCAACTGACTCATCAAGAACCAAAGTCTCATTGGTACAGCCACGGGATGCTACTCTGTGCTAATCTGCATGGACTTTTCTGCATAAGTTTTTCCTTTGGTTTAGAGCATCTTGTATCCGTAAGACACAGAATTAGCTTTGGGTGGGGAAAAAAAAAAGCAAAGACCTGGAGTACATTCAACGACTTCCCCCTTGTACCCAGTTTCTTCCTCCAACTCTCGCAATGCAGCGCTTTCTGCAGTCTCATTTTCCTCGATGAGTCCTGTGAGATAAATAATACACAAGAACAATTAAAAAGTTAGCACCTAACCGCAATACCCATCCCGAGATCTAATCCAGCTTTACAGAAGAGGTGAAACATCCTCACTACCCTATTTTTAGAGAGGGATAAACTGAGGTGTTAGGAAGGATTCCAGTTCCATGATTCATCATGCTGGTACCCATATCTTCATCCGATTATCTATAGAAGCATGGACCTACCCAGAAGATGGACTAGATGACCTTCAAAGGTCCTGTCTGACCCAAACGATTCTATTGCATTAATATTCTCATGAGAGAAAGAAGCCAAATGCTTTGGCTCTTACAGAAAGGAGGAGTGGAGGGAAATGTAATTCTACTACCAGACAGCGGTGCAAAATGCCTCCAATCTGCTAAAATGAACTGTGTTTATTTTGTATTCTTCATTATCATATTATTTTTGAATAGCACACGGACCTACAGAGACCACCACGGTTTTCCAGTTAGAGCTACTTCATTGACACTCCAAGCACACCTAAACACACTTAAACATCAGCTTTGTGTGACTTAATGTTTCAGTCACTTACCTGCAGGAAATTCCAAGCAATAGCTGTTAATTGGAGGCCTGAACTGTTTCACTAGGACAATGCAGTCGTAGTGGAGAGTTCTCTGTAGCACTGCTATCACTGCTACACCTACAAGCAGCGACAGAAGACTTGAGTACATAGTATTTCAGTATAGCAGAAAGTGAGTATTTAGTGCTAGGTCTGGAAAGGAAACCAAGGACAATTACTCTAATCATTAAAACAAAAAACGTTTAGATGCCTGCTCCAGAATCCTGAACTATGAATTTAAGCTCCTTACATCATGCGCAGTGAGAGCTAAAAGCCCAAAACAGGAACGAGAGGCAGATATACCAAGCAAGACCGAGCCTTAGCCCACCAGTAACTAGGAAAGGGCGCTCTCACCTGCAGAGCCCGTTTGGAAGCCACTGTATGGAACCTGCTCCTACACTTCTTTCACAGCTAAATCATGTCCCTCTTTTGCCCAGAGAGAACTGTATCCCTAGCCCCTAACAGCAGACCCAATCACCAGTCTGTGAACCACTCTGTATCACGGCATCCATTGTGTCTTTAAAATTACTCCACTGTTCTAAAGCAAATACAACGATCTTGGGAAAACACTCCTACCAGTAAGGTTCTGATTCTTCAGCACTGAAGTTAGCATCTCATTAGCACAGGCTTGCTCAGGGGTATAGCAAGCTCTGCTGAGCTATTTGTCCTGCATCCTTATTCATTCAGAAATAGATCATCTCTAACTCTGCACTGTGAGTTTTTCAGAAGAACTTTCACAGGAAAAAATGGAACAAAAAAAAGTCACCAACGTCCTACCATCAGCTGAAACACCCTTTTTGTTGCCAGTACGTTTTACAGTTTCCCAAGTTCTGTTTAACACAAAGAAAAGAACAAATGAATACATTAAAAGAAACAATATCCATTTTATTTGTAAGTTGTCTTCTACCCTTGCTGCTGTCATTTAAAAGCAAAATACTCCATCACACAGTGAGGTCCCATAAGAAGACAGCTGGTCTCAGGCAAGCTCTGTCATGTACCAGAACTATAAAATGTCTGTAGTATGATTTTGTTTTGCCTACTTAAAGGAGGGAAAGTAAAATAATTAATTAATGATTGTTTAAGATCACTAAAAATAAGAGAAAGACAATAAATGATTGTCACAGAACAGGCAAGTCTTATAAAAGTGATCCTGGACAAGTGAAAGATAAAGCAATTTATATATAAAACATGTCAGATTTTGAAAGACAGTTTTGTAACAAGACCACGTGCATTCTATCTTTTATCTTGCTTTTGAGTAAGGTTTACACTGTAAGTTATTGTGCACTCTCAGCTCAGTTACTTGAGCACATGGGGAATACAAGCTTCTCTCTCAAAAGAAGCAACGGGATGAGTAAAAAACAAAAATTCACCAGCTAATATGCAAGAGACAGGTGGCCAAGGCAGCCAACAGTGCCCTGGCCTGTATCAGCAATATTGTGGCCAGCAGGAGTAGGGAAGTGATCGTGCCCCTGTACTCGGCACTCGTGAGGCCGCACCTCGAATCCTGTGTTCAGTTTTGGGCCCCTCACTACAAGAAGGACATCGAGGTGCTGGAGCGTGTCCAGAGAAGGGCAACAAAGCTGGTGAGGGGTCTGGAGCACAAGTCTTATGAGGAGCGGCTGAGGGAACTGAGGTTGTTCAGTCTGGAGAAGAGGAGGCTGAGGGGAGACCTTATCGCTCTCTACAACTACCTGAAAGGGGGTTGTGGTGAGGTGGGTGTTGGCCTCTTCTCCCAAGTAACTAGTGATAGGACGAGAGGAAATGGCCTCAAGTTGCGCCAGGGGAGGTTTAGATTGGATATTAGGAAAAATTTCTTCACTGAGAGAGTGGTCAGGCATTGGAACAGGCTGCCCAGGGAGGTGGTGGAGTCACCATCACTGGAGGTGTTCAAAAAACATGTAAACATGGCACTTTGGGACATGGTTTAGTGGGCATGGTGGTGTTGGGTTGATGGTTGGACTTGATGAAAGGTCTTTTTCAATCTTAATGATTCTGTGATTCTGTGTAAGTTGTCAGTAGTATGCAAGGTCCAGCACCATCAGCAGGGAAAAAGCAGCCCTTAAGATGAAGAACCAGAAAAGCCACGGGATGGACTCTGTGATGATCATGGCCTAATTGCAGAGCTAGAACTTGCTTCCGCAGAGCATCTTTACACGGAACAGAAAATCCAAGGTAAACCAGGGTCCAATGTGCCCAAAAGAATTTAGAAGGCAAATATGATCCCACATGCTAGCACATCTGCAAGATTTTTTTTTTTTCTCTGAACAGTACAAACTATAAAGGAATTGCACAGTTACTAGATCCCATCTTGTGCTGAGTCTGTAATGCTCATATTCTCTAGCCTAGGGCTAGTCTGTACAACTGGGACCATTAAAGGAATCTGAAATGCCAGAGAGGCAGTTACCTGGTTTTACCAAAGGGATCAGTGTAAGTTGTTTCTTCAAGCTTCAACCATTTTCTTTCTACAATTACCTAAAATAAAGAATTCTCTGTTAAATACATTGTAAGATTAATCTCAAAGATATTTGGGGTCTAAGTGGAGAAACAACACAACTATTTTTGTATCCTTCTGAAGACAGAATCTCAGCATGAGAATACATGCAGAAACATGCAGCAACATTCCTGTAGCTATTACGGAAAAATAATTACTCCAAGTTCTAGTGCTGTTTTAGAAAAAAAGAATTTTACTGTCATGTGTCTCATCAGCCACACAATTAAAACCTGCAGAAGCTGGCCCAGTAGCATAACTTATGCTTTGTGAAATCCCCTATTTAGGGCCTAAGGACACTTTGCAGGATGTGTTGCACTGACCATACTCAGTTTTAGACTGAGTTATTTTTATTTCTTTATTTATTACTTTGATGGGCAAATAACATCTGCTTTTGCTTACAACAACCTGACTGTGGGTTCCCAGAAACAGGAAGAAAGAAATAAGATCAGCCGCTACTTTCACAGAAGAAGATATTCCAACATCAGACCATGTAGTGACTGAAGAGTTACAGAGCCACCTTCAACATAAGGGGCACTGACAGAGGCACAGTAAATACTCTCCTGTATTAATCCCACAAAATGACTGAAAAAAACTAAATAGCTTAAAATATGTAAGATCTAATTGCAAACTTCCAATGACACCAAAGAGTACAATATTGCAAAGGAGAATAAGAGGCCTTATTAAAAAAAAAAAAAAGAAAAAAAAAAAGAAAAAAATGTTACCTGCAAAAACATAGGTCTTAAGAGAAAACACAAAAAGCTTATAAAAATGAAACACTTTATGCTTGAGAAATATTAATTTTAAAAAGACCACCCAAGGGGAAAAGCCATAAATATATCCCAATAATGTGAGTCTCTTCTTTCCTGAAAAAGTTCTGTATCTTGAAACCTAAAGAAATTAAAACACTATGTTCATTGCAAGGAAAGAATGCTGGATAAAAGAAACTACATTTGTGTTATAACAACAGTGTGACATTGTTGCCAAACCTGCCTTTAACACCAAAGATTAACTTTCAAGAATTCACTTAAAAGAGAGCAGAAACAAATACAGGCAGTTTGAATTATGGTGAAAGTGCTCCTAATAAGCACACAGAATTCCCTCCAAATTCCCTCCTCAGGACCCGACGTTTTCTGATTCTGTGAAGATGCGAACACAGTACTTGAAAAAAAATCTTACTACCTCCTTACTAATGTCTGTGGAACAGCAATTACCTAAATTCAAACCCTTTCAGTAACTTTCAAAGAAGATACAATCGTAAATGTTAAGGCAACTCTTAGTGGTTCATCATCTTTAAGGACTGGAACACAAGGCTGAGTTTCATGATCCACTGATTTGTATAGTCTCTCAGATGTATCAGCATTATTTCTGAACATCGAAAACAGCCTGAACAGACAATACAAGAAACAGCTGCAAAATCCAAAAAACAGAAGCAGCTTAAAATAATGCAACACTGTAGATCTCTCTCTCCCCATTGACAATTTGTATGATTATCTTAACAAAGAGAAATGCCTCCTTTTTTAAACTGTCTGACCATCAGGAAGAAGTGTTTTGTCTATTGAATAGATTTTACAAACATACAGCATCTATAGAATTTCTTACTCTGCACTCACAAACATTCTAATCAGTCTCAAATAATTCTTATTTAAAAACAAAATGTGTCAAAACCAAGCATGTTATACCTCTTCTTTAAGGACGGATTGTCTAGCAGTTTTTGGAACTTCTGTGGATGTTTCAGCTGCCATTTTCAGGAATGTCAGGCTTTTCCCCTCCTGTGCAAAGTCCAGATTACTATAAAACAAAGTCAACATTTGCTTTCAGAGTAAAGTTAAAAGGTTCATTTCTGCATTCTAAATTAACAGATAAAACTTGGCAGAGAAAGTTAGGGACATACAATGGCAAGTGCAATTCACATTTTCAGCTCCACCCGATGGTTTCAGAGTCAAATAATTCAAGAAGAAGCGGAAGTTTGGGTATAATCCCTGACTTACATAATTGTAATAGTCCTATCAGCTGCCGAGCAGCTATGCTGGCTGAAGACACCCTCCTTAACTATTCAAAGGTCAGACACACACAGGGACAAAATTGATCCATTTCAGTCAAATTGTTTCATTCTGATCTGGGTGAAGTGCTCTGTCAACACAGCATTACCGCAAGAGGACTACACGCTCCACTGTGAAAGTGGGAAAAACTCCTTATATCAAGAGGATTTCAGTGGTAAAAATTGTCTGCTACCAGAACTAGAACCTACCTCCACCTTACACACATCACAAATACGTAAATGACTCAATCCTTCCCCCCAAAAAACAATGTCAAAAAGTCCCCTATGTGTTGCAAGTCTAGGTGGCACGTGAAGTTAGCGTGACAAAAGCACATCAGTCTCTCTTGCTGGGAATGATGTGGCTAACACCATGCAAAAGGCAGTTGCATATATACCCAAAGCAAGGCTTTGCACCTGCAGGTCAATGCCTCAGCCTCCATCCTAATGCTCCCTAGGAAGCTAAGATTGTCCACTCACTCTCTCAATCCATTTCTAGCTGAAAGGCACACCAGGCAGCAGAAAAATACGATGCGTTAGAGATTCACCGTTAGTCTCTTGTCTCACTGTGGAGCTATGGGGGCACTCTCAGCACAGAAAGCTCATTTCTGATAGTAAGTTGTAATACTGAAGTCCTGAAAATCAGCATGAATCATAAGCAAAAAGACAGTGCAAAGAAACAAGCCAGTTTAAACACCAGGAGAGATGAGATAATCTTAAAGATCTCTATCATTCTTAGTGCTGATGGTAGAAAACTTTCCACAAATTCTACAGGAATCTTTCCATTGATTTCAACTACAGTTAGGGGTGTCTAGCTATGAACAGTACCGGAAGTGAGTGATCACCTTCTCTGTCATACCCAATTTTAGCACTTCATTTTTTACTTCATCTTTATCCTTTTATAACATCTACTGCACATTTGTGAAACACTTAAGAGCGTGCAGCATCAATCAGCTTTCTTACGTATTAGATTTGCATTTAATTCCACTAAGTAGTTAAAAGAATGGGTGGTACAAAATATTTCTTGTTATCAGCAGGATTAAAACTAACGTACATAAATCCATTTCCTCAGTATATACACTGGGAAGGCTCTTTCTTAAGTCTTAAGACAACCTTGTTGGATGAAGTAGGTCATAGTAGGTAAATGTTCAAATTGTTTTTATATAACATAAGTCCTGAAAAGGAGCCCTGACCTATTGAAACCAATTCTGTTCTTTCAAAAATATGTTCCATAATCCTTTCTTAAAGCGATGAAGCTCCATCTTAAAACTACGTGGATTTACTTTATATATAGCATACTATATACCTTACTACTCTTTGTATGAAAAACTTCTCTAGAACCTCACTTCCTTATCTTCAATTTCTATCCCACGTTAGTTCAGTTAGCTATTACCCATTTGTTCCTGAGCCAGCAACGTTTCAGACTCTCTTCACTTAGGATTTAAGAGCTGTAGCTGGACAATGGCCATGGTCTCCTGCTGTAACTCTAAAATAAAAGATCAACCTTTCCACCAAACTCATGCAAAGGCAGCCCAGCCCAGCATAGCAATTCCAAGAGGTTCCTGGTCATCCAGAGGAAACAGTCAAAGGAGGCTCTTTGTGATGACCGAAGTATATAGCTTTAAAAACAAAAACCTCACATACCTAGCTGCAACAAATTCACCTCCTATGTTTGGAAAGGATTATAGCCTTTTTTTGATTGACAATACAATATCAAGAGAGTAGATAGTGAACCATATCCTTGTTAAATTTTTTTTTAATCGAGCTGAATAAGTCTTCCTCTTTTAGTCTCCACTCGCAGGAAATCCTGTTCCCTTGATCATACTAATCCTTCTACCTAAGTTTGCAAGTATCAGTGTATCTTTCTCAAACAGAAATCACAGAAATCACAGAAATACTAGGTTGGAAAGGACCT